CTGGGCCCCCGACGATGGTGATCGCGAGCCGCTGACCCTGCCTCCACTGCTGCTTCTCGGGGGCTGCCGAGACGGGGCCCCCCAGTCTCCTCCCCTTGCCCGGCTGTGGGTGAACCTGCAAGCTCCTTACCCACCCTGAGGACTTTTTTTGCAAGGAAACGAGGGAGGGAGGGAGAGGGAGAGAGCGAAGGGGAGCTCGTCCATCCATTGAAGCACAGTTCACTATGATCTTACTCGCTTTCAGCACTGGAAGACGGTTGGATTTCGTGCATCATTCGGGGGTGTTTTTCTTGCAAACCTTGCTTTGGATTTTATGTGCTACAGGCTGCGGAACAGAGCAGTATTTCAATGTGGAGGTAAGAGTAAGAGGGTTGCCTTCCTTCTCCAGCCTACCCCCACCCCGCCACATTTCCTTCACTCCACTGAGCCTGGTAGCTCGGAGCAGCCCGGGGCTCCACACATTGTTCCCTTCCTGCCGCCCAGACCCTGCTTGAGTTTCCTTGGGTCGGGTCCTGGGTGATGGATGCGCTTCAGAAGGAGAATCCGTTATCCCCAGCCGCACAAAGCGCGATGCTGCGCGCTCAAAGGCACAATTGTAGCAGATCCATCTTTTCGCCCTGGGAACTACATATAGCAAACGTGGAGCTTAATCAAGACAGCCTGGGTCTGTGATGGTTCATTCCACAGCTCGGGCAAGATGGCATTAATCGCTTGCCATCCCATGTTTCCCTGGTATTGTGCCTGAAATCTTTGGCCCCGTGTTTTGATGTCTAACAAAGGAGGTTAAAAAATCAGAGACTGGAGGAGAGAGCGTGGGAATACTTGATATGTTTAATAACATTACTTTGCGATAAAACACTTGACTAGACAGAGTCTTTTTCTCATTTGAACATAACTTAATACACTGTAACTAGATCTGGCTACACAGCGACATGAAATCAATCTCTCTTAAGTGTCTTCTCTCCCCTCCCCCGCCAAGTGAAAATAAACGTGGCCCAATGTAGTAGTTCTCCCGTGTGTTTTTAATTTTCTTTCACACCTTCATGGCAAACGGAGAGATGTTAAACTGTCACTTGCTTTACCTTGGTAGCTTTGGTGACCTGACGGGCACATCACATAGCAAAAGGGAACTTAAGAATAAAGGCTTGTCAGACCTTGGCCAAAGTACTTTTCCTGTCATCAGCTCAGCACTAAAGCCAGTAATGTGCAATCAATCAATGGAAGCAAGCAGTTGTACACCTGGGCTTAACACCACTGTGCCACGCAGGCTGTGGAATCCACAGACAGAGGGCCTTCATAATATCTATTCCTTTTGATTAGACCTTAAACCTTCTGACATGTCGAACGACTTTTGATTAAACCTCTAAGGAATAATGTGTGTGTGTGTGTGTGTGTGTGTGTGTGTGTGTGTGTGTGTGTGTGCTGTCTCCATTATGTTGTTGATCCCATAAGGCTTAGACTGTCATTTTGCTGGGAGTGAGGGTTTTCACAATAGCACGACCTGTTGCACAGTATCTGAACATACTCCAGTTAACTGATTTATATACCAAGTAGACATAATAAATACCATGTGTGAAAGCATTCTCAATATAACTCTGTGTTTATACAGACTGCTCTTAGAACCTCGTGGAGTAAGTGATGGTTGGCGGAGGAAAACGTATGTGAAGAAGTTAACAGCCATTAGTAAGAGTTAAAGAAGTTTACAGAATGACTAGATTGCACAAAAGCCCCCATTGGAAAGCCCAAGCCCATGTAACCCTTAGGAAAGGAAAGCTGTGTCTTTCTATGTAAAAACTGGGATAGAAATGGGGCTCCCCCAAGGCTGCAAATTTGAACTTTGGGGATTACAAACTACAAATGGATTTTTTGTGTGCCTAATGGTTAAGCTAAGAAATAATTTGATGCTGACATGAAGAAATAATGCAGTTCATTGCCTGGAGGACTGAGAGTGGACACTTGTTGAACACGTTGGAAACTGGAGAACTGTTACTACTTGGTGGAGGTCGTGGTGCTGAGGTGGAGCGTGGGGGGTTAAAAGGAAGTGCCAAGTTGTGTCTTGTACTCAGTAGCCAGAGAGGGAGGGGCTAGGCTGAACTGGTGGCTCTGGGCCTGTAGGAAGTCTAAAGCTTGGTTACAGAGATTATGGAGGTTAACATCAGCCTTTTTGTGGGTCTTAGATTATTTGAAACCAAAATATAATTTAGATGATATTTCTTTAAGTTGAATAAGTCCATTCAATTAGCTAATGTTCTACAAAAAGTTATGATTTTACTAAAAATACACCATATATTTAATTCTGACTTCCAATGATTGCTTTCTATACCAAGATCTATATGTGAAACTATGGCTTGTGAGGAGAAAAAGTTATTTCTCGTTTTTAGGATGTTTATAATTATATTGAGAAACGCATTCATCAAACTATGTAAAAATAAGGGGCATATGCCACCTGGCATCTCAAAAAAACACTTTGATACAGAAGAATTGTTTTCAATTAATTAAAAATTTCATAGCAGATTATGATTCATAGCTTGTATTATCCCCAAAGAGGTTTTTTGTTGTTGTTTATTTGGTTGTTTTATTAAGACCTTCAACATTGTCTTAGGTGTTTCTTTTGTGTGTGATGATTCTCCCACCCTTGAAAAAAAGCAATTATTCAGAAGTGGTGGTTATGAGACGTGAATTTCTGTCAGCTTCATTTGTATTAGATTTGTGTTTATTAATATCAGAAAAACAAATGGGAAGAGTAGGCCATCACTTTTCCAGAAGGGGCACTTATGTTGTGTTTCTCATTCTTGGTTGCAGAACATGTACTGAGCATGCTTTATTATACTGCTTCTCAAGGACAGTCTCAAAATAAACAGTAATGGTATTAATCATGCATGAAGCTCCTATGATAGGTA